AGGCTTGACTCAGGCCTGCATCCTTCCGAGGTCGCTAAAATGAGTACCCAACTGTAAATGAGCTTACAGTTGTAAACTTCTTAGACATCCCATAGTGCGATATGAAGCGGTATATAAATGAAGCTGATTTGCTTTGCTTTACTAAGTAGCATCTTCTGTGAGCAACAGGAGTCTGTTCTCTTGTTGATCAGGAAGCAATGACTGACGTTTCCACCCGCTCCTACAAGCATCCCCACATTAGTCCCAGAGATTGCCTGTCAACTTATGACAACCACATAGGAACTCCATAGAGTTTTCTTAGGCAAGGAATACTCACAGGTATTGTTTCCAGTTCCTTCCTCTGAAATATAGCCCACACTCCTTTTACTACAGCTTTATTCTCTACTAGTCTGTAAGTGCTTGGCATCGGACGATCTGGAAAACTATGGCTGCTTCTACACTGCAGGGCTAATGCAGTTTGACACTGCTTTAACTGCCATGGATCGATGCTATGGCATTCTGGGATTCGTAGTTTTGTTAGATATTAAGCCTTCTCTGTCACAGAGCTCTGGTGCCATAACAAACTACAAATCCCAGGATTCTATAGGATGGAGCCATGGCAGTTAAAGTGATATCAAACTGCATTCATTCTGTGGCATGGCAGCAGCCTGTATTTTCCTATATGAGCTTGTCAGAGTTTATGAATCCTCTGAGGATGGCTTTACTTCAGTCTCAGTAGCATTAAAGATGCATGAGGACAAATGAAAGTGTTTTCTAACTGATTCCTCTCCTTCCAACTTTGGGCTAATCACTGGCTTGTCCTTAGACAGAATTTTGGGCTATTAACTAGCTGCTCTGGAAGGATCTTCAAATGGAAGAGGTGCTGTACTTTTACCCTTTTTCTTATGCTTTAAATGTACAGTTGGCCATTGGTATCCACTGGGGTTTTGGTTCCAGGACCCTCGTGGATGCTCATATCTCATTAAATGTAAATGGCATAGTAAAATGGTGTCCTTTAAATAAAATGGCAAAACCAAGATTTACCTTTTGAAAATGTATATATTTTTAAAATATTTTCAAACCATAGGTGTTTGAATCTGTGGATAAAAACATTCATGGATATGGAGGGCTGACTATTAATTATTTTGTAATAGTGCATTCCTTAAATAGGATAGTTTATTGCATGGTTTTAAAATTATTTTTACTATCATAATAGGTTTTTAATGATGTTTTGTTTTAATCCATGTTGTGAGCCATCCTGGGTCCCATATTTGGAGAAAGGCAAGATATAAATAAAACATAGGGTCAAAATCTTGTCAGCTAATCTCGGCTAGAGCAGATCCACTGAATCAACTGTTGAAGGATGAATCAACACATAGGTAAATCACATTTGACTCAATAGATTTACTCTACTCAGAAGTAACAGTAGGATTTAGGTCATCAATAAATCATAAGCACCAGAAGTGATGCAAATTCCATTCTCCTCCAAAATAATAACTGGGCACACATCCTTGAAACAGGGAAACAACTAAGAACACCAGGTAGGTGTGAAGGATCTCTTATTGCCTATGAAGAAAAAAACACAGCATTTATTTCTAACTTGTTTGCTTGTTTCTATTGCCTCTCTCCATGGCACCCCAAGGTCAGGAGCGTATATTGCTGCAACCATCCTGAAATTTAACATGAATGACTTTGGGTTCCTTTGAAATGTCACAAAGGGAAGCATGATCCTCCTGAACAATATAAACAGAATCTGGTATTAAGGCAAAAAACAAATGGTGGTAGCTGGAATTCAAGCAAAAGAATTCAAGCCAAAGAAATATACATGCTTCAGGATTGCCTGAAGCATGGAAACCATGCCATTGCATAGGGAGACATCCAGACATCCGCTTGTCTGAAAAGCCGGCCAATGTCATGAGAAAACATCATCTTGGCAGGAGATGGAGAGAATAGGTAATATTGCTATTTCCTTATTTGTACTGAAGTGTCTGCATGAAGCTCTAATTCTAGCCAGCTTTGGAAAAAAACACAGTGTCACAGAGGTCACTTGTAAACACCAGCAAAATGGGATCATACATCCAAACAGATTTATTTAGTAGTATGCCCTGCAGTGGATTATGCTAATTTGGTCAGTAATTTTTATTTTCATACATGCTCTGCAAAACTGTCACAGAACAAGGATAGCTAAGGCTTTCATCACTTTGGAAGACATTTTCTGAAAAACAGAACAAGGATAGCTAAGGCTTTCATCACTTTGGAAGACATTTTCTGAAAAAAGTGTCAGTCGTATCAAGGGCCAAGCATTAGTTCCTGAGCTCTAGTGTTCAGCACATAGGCAGAAGCACAATATTTTGTTTGTGTGCTTGTTTGTTTGTTTGTATGGGGCTGCAATGATGGGATTACTCTGGGTCCAGGGTAATGCTTAACAGATTCATATATTCATTCATTTCATTTATGGGCTTTTTGAGGTTGATAAACTGACACCAATAAGGTGATGGCTCTTCTCTACCATACTTAATCTTTTCAACAGTGTGAAATAGGTCAGGCTGAGAAAGAATGGAGAAAGCTCAGTGGGTCCTTAAACCTGAATTTCCAGGTCCTTGTCCAACACTTTGTCCATTATAAAGGCAGAGGAGTGATCTTAGTGACTGTTCCTTCCTCCACTCGCCCTCTATGCCTCCTGAAATGTTGCAATGTCAATTATTATTTTGGGCTTTCAAGATAAATACATACCTTGAAGCACCATTGTGATTCTCTTTGGAGTTTGCTTTATACCAGAACAGACCATTGCTTCACCTATCCCAAGTGCCAAAAGATACCAGGGACGGAAGGGGAAGGAGTTTAGAAAGCTACTGTCTGTTTGGATTGATTCAAACAATTAATTTTAGAAATGTTCCTAATTAAATTGGGATCCAGGAGAAGTGGCATGAAGGAGAGAATGAGTAAGATGACAAAGAAAGCAAAGTTTCATAAATAACTTGGTGAGGAATGCAGCTAGTACAAGTCAAAACAACCCAAAGGTCTAAAGGTGGTAAAATCAATCCGAGTGAAAGAAACTGTGCACAGAAAGATTGCCTGGAGAAACCGTTGCCAGATGTTGCAAAAATCAAGACTGGGGTATCAGAGCTGAGGGAGATGTCTTCCACAAATGGTGTCCGACATTCCTTCCAGCAATGACACTGTGCTCTCACCTGCCTTTTCAACACGAACTGGTGATTTAGCAGAAACAGCTGTGGCTGCTCAGATCGCACTGCAGCTGTTTGCCTCTATGGGTGCATCTACACTGTAGAAATAACAGTTTGACACCACTTAAATGCTAGATCTCCATCCTATGCAATCCTGGGATTTGTAGTTTTACAAGATCTTTAGCCTTCTTTGCCAAAGTGGGCTGGTGCCTCACCAAACTACAAATCCCAGGATTCTTTAGCAAAGAGCCCTGGCAGATAAACTGCACTATTTCTACAATGTAGATTCAGACTTTACTGGCCACTCCTCAAAAACACAGAAGGCTTGGTTGTGTTTATTGCTCTGTCAGAGGAACTATACATATATTCAGAGCTTGGGAGGAATGTGGATGACAGTCCCCATAATCCCTTGTGTCCATACTAGGTGGGGGGGGGGGGTTCTGGGAATCAATAGTTCCCAAAAAGCACTTTCTCAGGCTCTGCAAATCTTCAGTGGAGAATGTCACTGTATTCCTTTGCAGACTCTGAACAGTGTGCAGGCAGGAGCAGTCCAAGCACTCCCAGGAAGCAAAGGGCTGCCCTACTTTGTGCAGGTGTTGCCTGCTTAAACTGTTAGCACATGCAACAGTGCAGTCATCTGGAGGAGCAAGCCTACTGAGTTGGAAGAGGAAGAAGATGAATGCAGTTGTGGTGGCACCTCTGCAAACTCTCTACCATGGAGGAAGAGATGGTGTGGATGAGGAATATGGGGCATCAATGATCCTAGCATCCCCTGTATTCTTCTGAAAGGACAAGAGGCTTTGCATGGTAGCCGGCTATTTTTGGAATGCCTTGCTCCCAAAGATCTGGAAACAAAGACTTGGTATTGAAAGACTTGGGAAATCACAGGCAATTTTCCCAAGCCAGCCATCCCACATTGCTTTTGCTCCCAAGATCTCTGCAACAAGGCATTCTAAATATAACACAGGCCTGCAAAATTGTGGGTCACAAAAAGGTGTTGGGTTTTTTGTTTTTTTAATGGATGCTGGTTTTATAGGAATTTGGCATTCTAAATCCAAACATGACCTCAGATTGTTACATCACATCCAATTCCTGCCCCACACACACACACAACTTTTTTTTTATGTTTCTGTATTATAATATGGAACTGGATGAGATGATCCTGCAAAGTATTATCCTACAAAAAGTAAGAAAAAGAGTTAAAATCTTCTAATAGACTTTCAAAATGCTTTAATTCTCTGATATGAAACATCATAATCCACTTAAAAGCACTAAATGAAATCGCACTGGAACATTAGTGTCCACGATTAATCAAAGATGAGAACAACAGATTTAAAAATATTGAATTTGTGAAAGAACTGTGTGTAGTATGTCATTTTTATTGTGATTTTTAAAAATTCAGCACCCCAGAATACATTAAAAACAGCTACAATGTTGAAAAGCATGTTTTCATTGCAGGCCTGTGTAATCAGCTGCCAAGGGCTATCTCCTTTAATTTTTTAGGGACAGGTGAAAAACCAGGTCAGGCGAAGAACATTGTTCCCATAAAACCTGGGACAGGGAAAAACCCCAAGAACCTTTCCAGTAAGGGTACCCCAGTGCCCTATTAAGATGGAGGCAAGAAAAACTGGCAGAAAAGTTAAAGCTTGTCCATGTAAAGGGATGGTGGATTACTCTGGAACATCAGATACTCCTCCCTGGATGCTCGGTTCAGCAAATTGTCCAGAAACTTCATGGGAAATACATATCAAGAGCCTGAAGCCATGATTAAGAGTTACAAAGGATTGTGACTGGAAAGAAAATGTACACAATAGCAGACCAAATTTACCAACTAAAGTTGGTGTGGTGTAGTGGTTTGAGTGATTGACTATGACTCTGGAGATCAGGGTTTGATTCCCTGCTTGGTCATGAAATCCACTGGGTGACCTTAGGCAAGTCACATGCTCTCAATCTCAGGGGAAGATACCTCATCTGAACAAATCTTGTCAGGAAGCCCTCATGATAGGTTTCCTTTAGGGTTGCAATAAGTTGGAAATAATCATAACAACAACAAAGTTTGTAAGGCCAACACATGGTAAGATGAGTGCATAGGTGACACTGCTGCCTGCTGTGTCTTCCAGCAGAGCATGAAGCTTACAGGTGGATCTACAGAAGCTGCTCTGCAAAATAAAATGGGTTGTCCAGGAGCAGTGGCCACAGGGAAAAATAGGATATGTACTTCTCCCAGGGCCCTTCTACCTGAGATTAAATGGAAATTCCTTGCAGTAAGGACCTCTGTTTATTAATAACTGAAGCACATGCACATTTGATTGCACATTGGTTAGACATATTTGTATGAAGTGCAATGTCTACACTAGTTCAAGGCCAAGAAAGCTGAGTTGTACGTGCATTACTATTGTGCATGCAGATGCCTGTTCTCAGCCCATGTCTATCTATCTGACCAAGCTCAAACTGGTGGAAGTTGGTTGTGCATTCAGCTGGGCATTCTGTTGTGCAATTGTTTGTGTATCTTGCACATTCAGCCACACAGTGCTCCCATTTGACACAAAAGGGCATGTATCACAATCGACACATAACTCCAGATGCAGAGACTTACACTGTATAACCCAGATGCATACATCTCAACCAGAGATGTTGAGAAAGACATGGGGACAGAGAAAAGAGAATTCATGTTAATTATTCTGAGAACCATTCATCCCATCCATGCATTTATCACTTTATTTATAGCCTACCTATCTCCTTACACTGGGACACTAGGTGGCTTACAAAAATGAATAAAACCCAATAAAAATACATAGAGTTAAAAACACACAAAACTGAGATTTCAAACAGTATTAAACAAAAGAAGTAAAAATAATATAAAAACTTATTTTAAAATAAAAATTAAAACAGCACCATAAAAAAACCTTTCATAGAATTATAGAGTTGGAAAAGACCACAAGAGCCATCCAGTCCAACTCCCTGCCATGCAGGAAAACACAATCAAAGCACTCCCAACAGCTAGCCATCCAGCCTCTGTTTAAAAACCTCCAAAGAAGGAGACTCCAGCACACTTCGAGGGATTGTGTTCCACTGTTGATCAGGTCTCACGGCCAAGAAGTTCTTCCTAATGTTGAGGTGGAATCTCTTTTCCTGTAGTTTGAATCCATTGCACCATGTCCTAGTCTCTGGAGCAGTAGAAAACCAGCTTGCTCCTTTCTCAATATGATATCCCTTCAAATATTTAAATAGGACTATCATATTACCTCTTAACCTTCTGTTCCCCAGATACCCAGCTCCCCAAGTTGCTCCTCATAGGGCATGGTTTCTAGACCATTCACCATTTGGGTTGCCCTTCTCTGGACACACTCCAGATTGTCAACATTTTGAATTGTGATGCCAGAATTGGACACAGTATTCCAGGGGAGGTCTGACCAAAACAGAATCAAATGGTGCTATTAATTCCCTCAATCTAGACACTAAACTCTTATTGATGCAGCCTAGAATCATATTAGCTTTTTTTATCTGCCGCATCACACTGCTGACTCATGTTAAAATTTTATTTCCAAAGTGTTGCTGGAAAAGAAGTCTTAACCTGTTGCCAATAGGACAACAAAGAAGGAGCCATCCTAGCTCCCCTAAGGAGGGAATTCCAAAGTGTAGAAGCAGCTACAGAGAATGCTTCCTTCAGCATTTCAACCCACTATGCCTGTGAAGGCAGTGGAACAGAGAGAATACCTTCCTTGCAGGTCTTAAAGCTTGGGCAGGCTCATATAGAAGACTGTTGTTATTATTAACTGCCCTTGAGTCAGCCCCAACCCATGGCACCCCTGTGGATGAGATCTCCAAGACCTCATATCTTCCACTGCTCTGCTCAGGTCTTGCAGATTCATGCCTAGGACATCTCTAATTGAATCTAAACATCTGATGTGTGGTCTCCCTCTCTTTCTACTGCTCTCCACCTTTCCTAGCAACATTGTCTTTTCTTCTGAGTCATGACTTCTCATATGCCTAAAGTACAACAACCTCAGTTTCGTCATCTCAGCTTCCAGGGATTCAGTCCTCCAAATAGCCTGAGCCTGAGCTGAACAGGGCTTTATAGGTGAAAACCAGCACTTTGAATTGTGTTTCAAAACATACCAGCAGCTCATGGAGCTGTTGCAACAAGGGAATTATGTGTTCCCACTTCATCCCACCTAGACGATTTTTGTATCCTACTGCTACGATATGTACCACTGATTGAGATCCATTGTAAAAGTGCTATTTATTATAAAAAAAAATTGGTAATAAGGCAATATTCTCATGATCATGTCACCACCAGCTGACTGTGAAACAACAAACGTTGACCATGTTGTTTTGGAGAATGGGAGGGTGGTAGAATAATGCACCCTAGAAGCTCCGGCTTGACCCTAAAGTGCCACCTTTTTAATGGCTGTCTGAAAGTGCCATTAAAATCTATGAGCAGAAATAAAAGACCTATGAACAAGTTCAAAGTAATTGCTTCCTCAGCCCATATGCCAGTCGTATCTGATATCCCCACAAAGGATCCTGGCAGGCAAAAGTTGGGGCCCCATGCTGATTTGCTCACATTGTGGTAGCACTTTGCAAGGCAGATGTTCCCAGGAACTGTGGCCTGGGAAGAATCAAGAAAGGTGGGAACAGCTGCTCCTGTCATTAAAGAGGTAACAGTCAGTTGCAATAATAGATGGCACATCAGCAGCACATGAGTACCGTACATTAGTTTGTAACTGAAGGACAGAGAGGACTGCAAAAGCTGATGACAGAGTTATGGTACAAAAGCAATGAGAGAGCGCAACAGCCAGGCAATTGTTATTCTGTTAATAACCTTTTGAGGGAATCAAAAGTATTTTTCTGTTCATTGATTGATTGGCTTGTTTGGAACGCTTGCACTCTTCTGCAATTATAAAATTTACAGGGCCATGGCAACCCTGCTGTTTTCAAAACATAATAATTGGATGTAAGAATAGCTCTTCAGGAATCATTATTTCAGAATAAAATATCGTTTAGGTTTTTTTTTTAAAAAAATCAAAAACAGCTATTTTCGAGTGGTAGAAATATATTCAACACTTTTGATCGTACAAACATTCAGGGGTCATTGCTTTTTAACCTATTCAGTGCTCTTGTTTGCCCCAGCTGCTACTTTCTTTTTCCAGTTCAGATCAGTCGTGCATTTGTGCACACCTACTTGGTTTCCACACTACAGAAATAAAACAGTTTGACACCTCTTTAACTGCCATGACACTATCCCATGGAATCCTGGGATTTGTAGTTTGGTGAGGTATTCAGCTGGTGTTTTAGAGAACTCTGGTGCCAAAACAAGCTACAAATCCAGGATTCCAAAGAAGAGAGTCAAAGTGGTGTCAAACTGCTTTATTTCTGCAGTGTAACTACACCCTAAATATTACACAGTGAAGAGTATGTTGTCATGACTGGGCAATGATGTCAATGAGGAGGAAGGAAGACAAAGGAGGGTAATACTTCCCAGAAAAATCCAGGGTCAGACCAACCAGTCAGAGATCACATAGGGAACTGAGTGTTGTTGCAAGGCTGCATAGTCACTCACGGGATGACACTAACCAGGAAGATTGAAGTCAATCGTTGGTGAAAGTAAACAAGGCAAATGAATGAACAACTCAACATTTATCAAGAGATGTAAAAACAGGGTTGTTGTGTGCCTTCAAGTTGACTCCAGTTCATGGTGAGTATATCATAGAGTTTTCTTGGCAAGATATATTCAGAGGAGGTTTAGTATTTCCTTCCTCTTAGGATGAGAGAATGTGACTTGTCCAAGATCACCAGTGGCCCCTCTGAAGTTCTAATCCAGCACTTAGACCACTGCACTATATTTGTTTAAAAAATATACTGGCACATTTAGCTATAGTGGTTTGAGTGTCGGATTATGACTCTGGAGACCAAGGTTTGATTCCCAGCTTGGCCCTGAAACCCACTGGGTGCCCTTGGGCAAATCACACTCTCCCTGCCTCAGAGGAAGGCAATGGCAAAGCTCTCCTGAACAAATCTTACCAAGAAAACCCCATGATAGGTTCACCTTAGGGTCATTGTAAGTCGGAAACAATGTGAAGGCACACAACAACAAAAGCTTTGTGTTTACCCTAGCCTCAGTCTTCAAGAAAGATCTACCACCTTCAGAATGGTCAGCCAATTGAATTCATTCAGATCCATCTTAAAGTTGTACCCCATGTCCTCTAACAAGTGATAAATCATTCTATAGCTAGAGAAAGGAGACAGGGAGAGTAACACACACCAGGCTGCTGATGACAAGGATGTGTCACAGACTGTCTCCCTTGCTCCCCTGCCCTTTGTACTGAAAGATTCTTATGACCTTTGGTGGCATTTGCAAGGAGCCATTTTCTCTGGACAGCTCCTTGGTTCTATTGATTTCTGCAAAGGATTAATCTTAGACAAACGGGCCATATAATTTATGTAAACTGTGCAGGTAATTAAATCCCCCTTCCACCAAAGGTCAGGAGTGGAATATTTAAGATTTCATTTTAGCCAAAAAGAAAGAGGACAAAAAGCAAGAAAGTTTGGACAGTCACATCAATTAAAATGATGTGCTCTTACAGTTGGACTTCAGGGGCTTAAATGCTGTACTAAAGTGTGGAATGGATTGCTCTCAAGGCCGAAGTCCAGGCAGCCCCAATAGGGGCTGAGGAGTGCAAGCACAACCTGAGGATCTGCAGACATTTGTACTCCAACCCATCTGCAGTAGCAAAGAAACACCACTTTCCTGTTGAAGACATATTTGCATATTTAGCCAGGTGACTGGGTGCAGATACATACCGGTAGTTCCATCACCATACCCTTCAACATTTCATAAATGAAAACCAGGAGGCATGTGGGCATCCTGCATCATAAAGTGGTTAACACTGCAAAAATTACTTGTA